ATGTCCACTAACTTTTTTTTTTTATTTTCATTTTTTTACGTTCCAAATTTTTACAAGTATCAATTATGAACATTTGAAATAATTGAAGATATAACACATAAGTTAGTACAAGTCCGGCCCGTAAGCTAAGTGGGCCAAGTCAAGGTTCAGGTCAGTGTCTTGCTTTAAGTTTAACCTAGGGTCACTCAGTTCTCAATTCTCAAATTCAATCCGATTCTGCGCCTTAACCCGACGCCCCACCTCGCCTCACCTCCAACGAACAAACTCCACGCCCCACCTCCATCCCCACCTCCACCTCCGACTCCATTTTCATATTCCAATGGTAATTACTACATTTTTTTTAAAAATTGTTGATGTAAATAGGCAATGAAAAAATAAGATGGAGTAGGTACTGTTTGTTGGTTGGCGGTAAATAAAGGCAAAATATATTTTTTCTCCATTCGGAACTCAACATTGAATGATGTTTGCAGGTGTTAACGGAGGAGCTCAGTAGAATCATGAATATTAAGGATAATATTCGTAACATCTCACTTATAGGGCACATTAACCATGGTAAACTCCTCTTCTGATTCATAATAACTCCTCACGTTCTTCCAATTGATCCTGAACTATAATGTTTCTTTTGCAGGCAAGTCGACCGTCGCCGGCTGCGTGACCGACATCCGTGCGGACGAGGCTGCAGCATATCTAACAGAGGCGACCACCAAATCGACACCAATTTCTTTCTATCACAAGAGGGATGACAATTAGTACCTCATCAACCTGATGGACTCCACTGGACACGTCGAATTGTCGTACGAGGTCACGGACGCCCTCCGCATCACCGACGGGGCCAATGTTGTGGTCGACTGTATTGACGGTGTGCTTTTTCACACCGAGAGTGTCATGCGGCAGGCCATGGCCGAGGGCATTCGCCCTGTCCTCACCCTCAACAAGATGGACCGATGTTTCCTCAAGCTCGACATGGCCGGGGAGGAGGCTTATGAGAACTTTTAGAAGATCATTGAGGACACTAATGACATCCTTCGTGATTTTCAGGTGTCCCCCGAGAAGGGCACTGTTGCATTTTGTGCTGGCATTGACGGCTGGGCATTCACCCTCAGTACTTTCGCAAAGTATTACACCTCGAAAGTACGTGTGGACGAGGAGACGTCATGGAGAGGCTCTGGGGGGACAATTTCTTTGATACTGCGACTAAAGAGTGGACGAAAAGCAGGACGAAATCCAAGACTTGTATCCGTGGGTTTGTCTTGTTTTGTTACATGTCGATCAGACATATCATTAGCACATGCATGAAGAAGGAGACGAGCAATCTCGAAAGAAAGAAGGGTGATTTGTGGTCCACTCTGGAGAAGCTTCAGGTCAATTTGACCTTAGAAGAGAAGAAGTTTGTGGGGAAACAACTAATGAACTGCGTGATGCAGCGATGGCTCCCCGACAACAGCGCGCCCTCCTCGAGATCATATTCCACCTCCCGTCATCCGCCACAGCCCAGAGCTACCGTATGGATAATATGTATTCCGACCTACTCGATGATGTCTATGCAGAGGCGATTAGGTGTTGTGACCCGGACGGTGATTCTCTTCTAAAACCCGCTGATTCCTTTAATCTTCCTTACAGGGTAATCTCGACTTCACTCCATCAGACGAAAACCCGTTGATTCATTTAATATTCTTTACGTGTGCAAGATGATTCCAACCTCTGACAAGAAAAAGTTCTTGGCCTTAGGTCGTGTACTCTCGAGAAAGGTCTCGACCGGCCTCACGGTCAGGATCATGGGCCCAAACTATCAGCCCACCAAGAAGGAGGGCCAGTACTCCAAGAGTGTCGAGAGTATGGTTATCTGGATGGGCAAGAACAAGAATCAAAAGACTATTGAGGATGTCCCTTGTGGCAACATAGTGGCCATAGTTGGCCTTGATGACGTCATCACCAAAAGTGATACTCTCACAAATGTTGAGAATGTCAATGCTCACATAATTCAGGCCATGAAATTCCCGGTTTCACCTCTCATGCGCATTGACATCCAGAGTGAGGCAGAAGTCTTGGAACTCTTTAAGGGTTTGAGGCTCCTAGACAAGTCAGCCCCTATGGTTGTCATCAATGATGAGGCTAAAGACCTGTCCATTACTGGTGTAAGTGAGCTTCACCTTGAGATCTGTAAAAAGCACTTACAGGATGATTTATTATGAGGGGTTGAGATCTAATTTATTAGGAGGGGTTGAGATCACATCAAACTCATTGATCGTCACCTTCTATGAGTCGGTTCTTGACAAGTCTGACTATACCATCATGAGCATGTCTAGCAACAAGAGCATCCGTCTTTACATAGTGGCCCGACCCTTGGATCAAGGCCTTGCCAAAACCATCGATGATGGGCGGATTAGCCCGCATGACGACCCCGAGGTCCGCTCAAAATCCTGAATGAGGAGTTTGGTTGGGATAAGGAGTGCGCCAAGAAGATCTGGTGCTTCGGACCCAACTCCACTAGCCCCCTCGCCGGAGAGAAAACGAGGGACATTTGCTTTGAGTTGTGTAACACCGTGATCGCCGAGAACTTCTTTTTTTTGTTTACATTCCAAACTTTTACAAGCATCAAGTATGAACATTTGAAATAATTGAAGATATAACACATAAGTTAGTACAAGTCCGGCCCGTAAGTTAAGTGGGCCAAGTCAAGGTTCAGGTCAACTGTCTTGCTTTAAGTTTAACCTAGGGTCACTCTGTTCTCACTTCTCAAATTCACTCCGATTCTGCGCCTCGACCCGACGCCCCACCTCGCCTCACGTACGACTAAAACACTCCACGCCCTGCCTCTACCTTCACCTCCGACTCCATTTTCAGATTCCAATGGTAATTACTACATTTTTAAAAAAATTGTTCATGTAAATAGGCAATGAAAAAATAAGGTGGAGTAGGGACTATTTGTTCGTTGGGGGTAAATAAAGGCAAAATATATCTTTTTCTCCATTCGGAACTCAACATTGAATGATGTTTGCAGTTGTCCACGGAGAAGATCAGTAGAATCATAAATAATAAGAATAATATCCACAATATCTTACATATAGTGCACATTAACCACGGTAAACTCCTCTTCTGATTCATAATAACTCCTCAGATTTTTCCAATTGATCCTGAACCATAATGTTTCTTTTGCAGGCAAGTCGACCGTCACCGGCTGCGTGACAAACATCCGCACGGATGAGGCGACCACCAAATCAACACCAATATCTTTCTATCACAAGAGGGATGACAATGAGTACCCCATCAACCTGATGGACTCCTCTAGACACGTCGACTTCTCGTACGAGGTCACGACCGCCCTCCGCATCACCGACGGGGCCATTGTTGTGGTCGATTGTATTGACGTTGTGCTGTTCCATACCGAGAGCGTCATTCAGCAGGCCATGGCTGAGGGTATTCACCATGTCCTCACCATGAACAAGATGGACCGGTGTTTCCTCGAGCTCGACATGGACGACGAGGAGGCTTACGAAAACATTCAGAAGATCATTGAGGACACTAATGACATCCTTCGTGATTTTCAGGTGTCCCCCGAGAAGGGCACTGTTCCATTTTGTGCTGGCATTGACGGCATGGCATTCACCCTCAATACTTTAGCAAAGTATTACGTCTCGAAAATGCGTGTGGACGAGAAGACGATGAGGGAGAGGCTCTGGGGGACAATTTCTTTAATACTGCGACTAAAGAGTGGACGAAAAGCAGGACAAAATCCAAGACTTTATCCGCGGGTTTGTCTTGTTTTGTTACAAGCCAATCAGACATATCATTAGCACATGCATGAAGAAGGAGACGAGCAATCTCGAAAGAAAGAAAGGTGATTTGTGGTCCACTCTGGAGAAGCTTCAGGTCAATTTGACCATAGAAGAGAAGAAGTTTGTGGGGAAACAATTAATGAACTGCGTGATGCAATGGTGGCTTCCCGCCAGCAGCACCCTCCTCGAGATCATATTCCACCTCCTGTCACCCGCCACGGCCAGAGATACCGTATGGATAATATGTATTCGGGCCTACTCGATGATGTCTATGCAGAGGCGATTATGTGCTGTGACCCGGATGGTCCCCTTATGCTTTACGTGTGCAAGATGATTCCAACCTCTGACAAAAAAAAGTTATTGGCCTTATCTCATGTATTCTCGAGAAAGGTCTCGACCGGCCTCTCGGTCAGGATCATGGGCTTAAACTATCAGCCCACCAAGAAGGAGGGACAGTACTCCAAGAGCGTCGAGGGTATGGTTATCCGGATGGCAAAAAACAAGAATCAGGAGACTGTTGAGGACGTTTCTTGTGGCAACATAGTGACCATAGTTGGCCTTGATGACGTCATCACCAAAAGTGTTACTCTCACAAATGTTAAGAATGTCAATGCTCACATAATTCGGGCCATGAAATTCTTGGTTTCACCTCTCATGCGCATTAACATCCAGAGTGAGGCAAGAGACTTGGAGCTCTTTGAGGTTCTGAGGCTCCTAGACAAGTCCGACCATACCGTCATGAGCATGTCTCGCAACAAGAGCATCCGCCTCTACATGGTGGCCCGACCCCTGGATTAAGGCCTTGCCAAGGCCATCAATGACGGGCGGATTGGCCCGCATGACGACCCCGAGGTCCGCTCGAAAATCCTGAATGAGGAGTTTGACTGGGACAAAGAACGCGCCAAGAAGATCTGGTGCTTCGGACCCAACTCCATTGCCCGAACATTTTGGTTGACATGTGCGAGGGGGTCGTCAGGCACCTGGACAAAATCAAGTAGTTTGTCGTGGATGGTTTCCAGATAGCCAAGGAGGCGGACCCGCTCGCCGGAGAGAAAATGAGGGACATCTGCTTTGAGCTGGACCAAATGGTTACACAACATCTTCCAACAAACTAAAAGTAGTTAGTAGAAGAGATTTGAGGGATACATTACAGGCAATGCTTCCCCTTGCAAAGCTAAGCTACATAAAAGCGAACAAATCTTTCCTAATCCAAAATAACAAACACCAAACAAGTTAACAAGAGGTAGATGTCCTCGGCCATGACATTAAGGGAAGAGTGAAATGGAACTCTTATATTCAGATTTTGTGCAATACCCTTGACATCCATGACAATAAGAGCATCTCCAATGCATAAATGTAGTTGTAGTAAATTACACTCTACATTAACATATTTAGCAATTTATTCACTTTTAGTCCTCCAATGCACAATGTTATCACAAATGTAGTGATGAGGTGGACATAATTAATATCTACAATGTGGAGATGAATGTGGTTCATCCACATTCTCATTCACATTCTAGCCAACCAATAGAGAGAGGAGAGAGAAATATTATTACCATTTCCAAAATATCTAATTATTTTAATTTTTTTTTTATATTTATAAATTTTATATTTTGGCCAAGTGGATAATATTGTGTTTGATTATATTTTGCATTGGAGATAATATTTTAGAATTAAAGTTGTGAACCTAATAATTATTTTATGTGGTTCACAATCCACCTAATTAATTGACATTTGTCAAAATTTATGTAATAACAACATATATGCATTGGAGATGCTCTAAGGAAGAGTGAAAAGGAAATAGTCTGTTTAGATTTTGTGCGATACCTTTGACATCTACCACAAAGAGTCGAAGCTCTAAGGCAGCTAAATTGAATTTAGCAATTTCAATGCAATAACCTTGACATCTACCACACAAGAGCTGAAACTCCAAGGCAGCTAAATAAAATATAGCAATTTCAATACAATTCAATAGATGCGACATATGTCACACAAATCTTGAAGCTCCAATGCAGCTAAATAAAATTTAATAATTTCAATATACTTTGATAGATCTACCACACACAAGTTGAAGCTCCAAGGCAGCTAAATTTTAAAATTTAATAATTTCAATATACTTTGATAGATCTACCACACACAAGTTGAAGCCCCAAGGCAGCTAAATAAAATTTAAAAATTTCAGTTCACTTTGATTGATGAAATTCACAAGTTGAAGCCCCAAGGCAGCTAAATAAAATTTAAAAATTTCAGTTCACTTTGATTGATGAAATTCAATGGCAAATAGTTATTTTAATANCAAGAATGTTGATATACCTCAAGGTTTCACGAGCTCAAAAATTATACTACATCACCACAACAATAGCATTCATGAATATTGTTATTAAAGGCTCAAATCTTACACCTAAACTTCCGGATGATCATTCTGAAGAAAAAAATAGGGATATGAATAATTTTTTAATCAACTATTGTACAACTTACAATTAACCAAACATATGTATAAGTATACAACAAATGAAAAGAAAGTTTTTAACATAATCTCTAGTTCACCATTTTCTAAATTATACCAGTAATTATGATACAAATTAGGCCCGTGCACATCCCACTAGTATATATATATTTATCTATTTTGATTGAGTTAGTTTGAATTTAAATCTTAATCGATCCATATAACCAATTGAGTGTGGGTCGGTTCCAGATCAATCGGGTTTGGATCAACCAATTGTGCTATCCTACATTCGGCACCCTCGTTAGACATTGCCCACAACGGTACGATCAAACTTTGTTCCACTTTAATTGAGTTAGTTTGAATGTTCAGCTATTTAATATAGAACTAGTATTTGACCTTGTGCATTTGCACAATATAAATAGAATATTATAAGTTATATTTATGCATATAATATTAAAATTATATATAAATTATACAATGATATTATATTTTAAACATAGAGTATTATAAGTTATCTTTATGCATATAATAATAAAATTATAAATTAGATAATGATATTATGTTTTAAAATTTGATCATTTGTTAAAATAAATAGTAAATAACTATTTGATTGCATATGAATCACTATGTTAATTACATAAAATATAATAAATAATGTAATTTTGAGAGATCACCAATTAATTAGCTTAAAAACATTAAATTTATTATAACATTTGATCATGCGATTTTAAAGAAATTTACTATGACATTAAAATAAATTAACTTATTTAAAAATACAATTGCTAAATAAGATAAAAGAAAAATATAATATTACTTTTAGAATAAATAATTTTACCAAAACGTTTACAATAATTTTTTATGTTTATTTAACTTTCATATATCATTTAGTATAAACTATGGTTATTAGTTTTAATAATAACTATTATATGATACAATAAAATAGTAAAATTATTACTCAGTTAATATAAAATGTAACGATTTTTATTTTAATTGAATCTTTTATTACTAAGTTAAATTGGGTTTATGTTTAATGAAGTCTCCTCAAAAAGTGCCATGAAATATTTTAGCATTAATTAGATATGGTGGATTAATAATAATAAAAATAATAATAGAAGATTGTAACATAAAAAGATAGTAAACAACAATTAATATTACTACCCCCCTATTCTTTTTAAATGTCATTTTGGTTTTATCAACTATTAACCAAAATAAATGTCGTTTTGGATCTTTTGTACATATTTTTCCAATATTACCTTCATTTAGTTAATAAATATACTACGTCTTTTCATATTCTCTTCATCTTTATTTTTTTAAAAACATCTATCTCTATCTTCATTAATGAGAGTTATTATTGGCAAAAAAATTATTATTAATTAGTGTGCAACTTCCCAAAACGACACTTATTATGAATAGGAGGGAGTATTAAATTTACTGTTAGTAATTAAACATAGAGAGAGATATAAATGATAAAGTTTGTAACGATATTTGACGAAAAATCGAAATGAAGTTTTATTAAATATTTTATTTAATGCATCTAACAACAATTATATATATATATAGATGATCCATTTAACAAATTGAGTGTGGGCTTAACTCATTATCAATCGGGATTTGGGCCGACCCATCCGGGTCGCACGTGACACGACAAAGATTGCATTTGCACCCTATGATACTACCCTACTTTATTTATTTATTTAAAATTTCAAAAAGCACAAACCTCAAGAGTATTGAAGGCCACCGGCAAAGGCTGCTGGAAAAACAAAAAATAACTGCACTAGAACCACTTTTCCTCACTCAAATCCACTCCATTTTCTGTCTCTCACGTTTTTCCCCTTCTTCTTCTTCTTCTTCTTCTTCTTCTTCTTCTTCTTCTTCTTCGAGTTTCAGGAGATATGGTAATGTCCAGCCACTGAGATTTCTGCGTCGTTTTGCGTGTAGTTGTTTTTGCTCGAATTTTTCGGCGGTTGCGGCGGAGGTTGCTGGCCAATCGATTGATGTTCGGTCGTTTCAAGTGAAGTTCGAATCGGCGGATGGAATCGATCTGGAACTCCGGCGGAGAGCCTAGCGCGTGGCATTTCATTGTCGCCGTCTACTTCGCCTTTGGGTTCGTGACTGTGAGGTTTTTCCTCGATAGATGCGTCTTCCGTGTAAGCTCTTTCTCTGTGCGGTGGTGGCATTTTCGATTGGCTTGATTTTCGGAATGTTTTTCTGCTTTGGTTAGATTTTGTTGAATGATGCATTTACTGAATTGGTTTGTGTTGGTTTTGGTGATAAACCTACTTTGTGAGGTTTGAAGTCTGGTTCAGTATGCGGCTTGTTGATACATACTAAACCTCATTTTAGCTTGTAGTGGTGTGCGATTGTGTAGCTCCAAATTGAGCTATGCGAAGTAGCTTTTGAGTTGTTTTTCAGTCATACATACTGATAATAAAATTTCTAGATAACTGAAAGTATTCACGCTGTGCATATAATATTGTGATATATCTGAACAAATAGATAGGTTTGCATAAGTTCAATTTAATGTAAGTAAATTTCTTTTGTGTTGTTTCTGAGTATGCTGAATATTAATTCTGTTAATATAACGATAACTGAGCTTATAACCACAAACATTTTAAAAAATGTCAAGATACTAATGATTTTCTTCATAATTCACTGAAGACCTGCATTTTGACGAGGTGCTGCTTGCAATTTGTTTGGGAACTTGATGTAATAGATAACAAGTGTTGGACTGTTGGCTGATTGTTGTTGAAGTCTGGTTACTGATATTTCTATGGCAAGACAGGTAGCGACTAGTTAGGTTTCATAGCCGATTCAGCCTCGTAATTTGTTGCATTGCTCATTATGTGTGTTCCCTTGTTACTTTCAATAAATTGGATGCCTGTAGTTCTCTGACTGCAGATTGATCATATATGCAATGATTTCTGTGAAACATCTGTTTAAGATATTTTGCTGGGACACTAGTTTTAACTTTACGATTCACATTGGTTATTCTATGAAGTTCTGGTACGGATCTTTCAAACAAAGAGGTTACAACTTACAGCTTAACTGTTCCAGGATTTCTTTAAGACCTACTACAGAAATTCGGTTATTATTGTTTTCCAAAAGTGAGAATATTTTGAAGTAGTGCTGTTAAGAGAATCTACTCTGGATTGTGTACATTTCACCTCCTCATAATTGTTAAAATGTACAAGATATGTTTTGAAGTAGATGTCCTCCAATTTGCCTTAGCTGAGTCATGATATCTGTAATGCTGGAAAATAATCTGGATCTATGTGGCAGTGCTGGTAATCTCTCTGAAGATTTTCTGCATAAGTGAATGCTGCACTTGTTTTCCATTCCAATTTGCCTGCATTCTACTTTTGAGTGGATTCTGAATATATTCATTGTTTCTGTGAAATAATGACGCGGTGCATGGCACTAGTAGCCTTTATTTTAATATATAATAAGTTTTCTTTTCTGTTCCTTTTTTCCTAGCGATGAGCTCCTATATGAGCAATTTTCCTGTCAACGTTTGAATTAAATCTTATTTGACATAGAATATGTACAGTATCAAATTTGAGGGATCAATGGCTTTGTAGAAACTAGAAACTATGATTTGGTAGATGATATAATTGTGTTAATTTCTGTTTATGCCTGTAGGAGTCTAACAAGTCAAAATCGTATAATTGATCTCTGATGTTGTGCTCACTGCTATTGTATCTTGTGTTTGAGCAATGGTTGATTCATTATTATATAAAGAATTCTATCATTGGTTGATTAGATACTCTTTTCACAATTGACTCCATCTACTGCAGAAGTTGGCCATCTGGTTGTTGAGCAGAAGAAAAACTTTGCTGAAACACGATAAGAAAACAAGTGAAAAAATAGTGAAATGTTCAGAGTCCTTGTGGAAGTTGACATACTATGGCACCATAGAGTTTTGTGTTTTGATAACTGCCTACCGTGAGCCTTGGTTCAATGATGTAAAGCAGTACTTCAGAGACTTACTGGACCAAGAGCTGAAGTAAGTGTTGTATCTCACCATTCTCCAAGTGTTCTTTATAAATATCTTTATCGCAGCTTTTTCACTCAAGAGAATATCTTATTTTGTAGTGTCCATTTTTAAGCTTCTCCTTGTCTTTTTGCATATTGGCAGTGGAATCCTATTGTGTTCCACACTCTGAAATATGCATTTTTTTATGGTTGCATGCTAGAATGGACACACTGTTGAGTACAAATTGTTAACTGAAAGTTTTGTTCCTACTGCATGCCTTATTGATGCAAAACTATTTATATTTTTGAGTTTGTATTTTCATTAGCTGTGTATTCTTTTTTCCAGGCTCCCTTTGAAACTTATCTACATGTGCCAATGTGGGTTCTACATGTATGGCATTGCTGCACTCCTTGTATGGGAAACTCGACGGAAGGATTTCTCTGTGATGATGTCTCATCATATTGTGACTTTGATCCTGATTGCATTTTCATACCTGACAAGGTATCTTTTTAACTATCTATTGTTTGCATATTCATCATCACAAGGTATATTTTAACAATCCAACTGTTCGTGGATGCTGAAATGTTGAGGCAATAGGGACACCAATTATTAGATTCTGGGTGCGAACATTTAGTTTCTGTAGATCATGAGTATTTATTTATTATTTTTTCTTCCAAAGGATCATGGTTTATGAATTATGTAGTACCAGCCATTAGCACTTAAGCAGTTCATTGTTTATTGGCGTAGGTATGCATACTTGTTAATAACATTGTTGACAGCACATAAGTTTGACTATTCTTCAACCTGGGAAATCAGTGATTGCTGCCAGTTCAATAACTGATGAGAACATTCGAGTGTTGATATGCATTTCCATAATTTCGCCCCCCAGATTTCTTGCAAGATATAAAGTAATTTCAATCAAGATTTTGAATTTCTTTAGTGCTAATTACGACAAGAAAGAGCGTTTTTATTTTATTTATTTTATTTTATTTTATTTTTTAAATTTGATCGTTGGGTATGCTCTCTTATAGGTTCTTCCGTATAGGAGCTGTTATTCTTGCATTGCATGATGCCAGTGATATATTCATGGAAGCTGCAAAGACTTTTAAGTACGCTGAAATAGAAATCGGAGCAAGTGTGTCTTTTGGTTTGTTTGCCCTGTCTTGGCTTGTGCTGAGGCTTATATACTTCCCATTTTGGGTCATAAGAGCATCAAGGTTCGTTTTGAAAATTCTAATTCTCTAATGGGTCTATTTTGGTTTTATGGTTAGCCTCTTCTCCTAATATCACTTTTTATTTTGTTTCCGCTCAACAGTTACCACTCGTGTGAAGTCATCAACATGTCGGACCCTTACTATTGGGGGTTATACTATGTCTTCAATACGATGTTATTCACCCTGCTCGGTTTTCACATCTACTGGTGGAAACTTATATGTGCAATGATCATAAAGCAGCTGAAGAGTAAAGGCAAAGTTGGTGAAGATATACGATCAGGTAGGCGTCCTTTTCATTTTGTATGCCCTTGGAATTATTCACCACTCAATTTGTATATGTAGTTATTTACTAACACTTCTCAATCCTTGCCCAGATTCAGAAGATGATGACTAGTAAGACTAATCCTTCACAGAGTAGTGCATGAGCCCGGGAAAATTTCCCCCTGGTTTCGTATCAGGTTCGATTTTGCTAATCATTGGTTTACTGAAGAATTTGATAGCCGAAATTCCTACAAACAACACCCTTCTGATTTCAACTTCCCATTCATTTCATAGGAAAAAAAAAATGTAGCATTTTGCCATTTGAAAAATATGTTCTTCCCCTTAGAATTGATTGATGCTTCATGCATGATTTTTCCTGTGATTAGCGTTAGCCTTCATGAAATTGAGCGGAAGATTTTGCATTAGTCACCTGATTCCAACTCATTGTATATAAATATCTCACTTTCTCAGTGTTCAGAATTGTGGTCAATCTCATGGTTTATCTTTTCATCATCTTCTAGTGCTGGCTATTTAATATACATGTTGAGTCTATGGTTTTCTTTATTTAGCAGTTATTCATTTATTTCTGGATCAGTAGCTTTTTATCTTGGAGTCTCTCCCAGAGATTAGATCTCCTGTTTGATTTTCATATTCAGTTGCGCGTTTCATTCCATTCGATGCATGACACACACGTCACATATCAACTTTAGGGGAGCAAGATTTAGAATTTAATTATTATGTGTAATCTTTCTATCGATTTTTTTTCTTATTTTAAAAAAATAAAAATACATAGGAAGTAGGTCAATATAGAACATTTCTAATTGAAAATATAGTTTTGGTGCCTACATCCTACTGTAAGGCAAAGATATCAGATATGTGAGTTCTGGTTGTTTATCTTGTTTATGAGATGTCACTCGTTTAATTTCATTCAGTGTTTTCAATATCGTACCGTACCGGCCGGTAATACCGGATACCGGCCATTGGTACGGTACAATTGTACACAGAATACCGGATTTACGGTTGTACCGGTTTGTACCGGGGTCATACCGTAAATACCGGAAAAAACCGGTCCAAAATACCGGTCATAAAAAAATATATTAAAAAAATTAAAAAAAAATTATTAATTTAAAATATAAAATTTAAATTGGTAGTTAGAATATTTTATTTTTATCTCATTGATAAGTTAAAATTAATGATTATGGTCATTTATTTTTTTTACTTTTTTGCATTTGGTATAATACATTTATATATATAAATATATATATATATAATTATATTTGTTAATCCGGTAATACCACCGATATTACCGGTAATACCGCGTACCGGTGGCTAGACCGGTATGGCCACCGATACGGTATTTAAAACACTGATTTCATTGAACTAATAATAGAAGTCATCCTTTTAATAATCATTTCTTCCAGATTTTTGTGAATTTGTTCAAAATCTATGGTGGATTTGGCACGTTTTAGTTTTTACTTTTTAGGGTGCATAACAGATGCATTTATTTCTCATTATATGTTTCTGGTCTTATACTGGAGTCACATATTTCATTCTGATGAAGAGCCAAAAATATAAATAACACTTGGTCGGTTGAGCTTCCTGTAACTGTCTTGAGCAAATTAAAATACTAGTAATATTGAAAAACTCAAAAAAAATGCCTCCACTTATATATATATATATATATTTAAAAAAGAACCGAAGACAATAGGTTCATGACCCCTTGAAAAGTCAAATTAACTTGAAGCAGTCATGAAATGTTTATCGCATGTTTTGGACTTAAAGCTGATAAAATCAACTTTTGGATTGAATAAGTTATTTTACATGTAACAAAAAAAAAAAGAAGAAGAAGTTATTTTACATGTAACAATCGATTCTGGTACCCATGGTTGTCAAAATCGAATTGGATCGATGTTCGATATTTGAATTAATATGTACAGACTCGGATATGAATTAATATTTTTTATATAAAAATAATTAGTCTTGATTTCATTTAATGTCTATATTATTCATATTAAATCCATGATTGAGTTTTTTCTTATTTTATTCTACAATTAGTTACCATAAATAATTTTACATTCTTTTTCCTACATTACCATATATTACATATTCTTTTATTATTTAATTGATACATCAATTATTATAAATGTTTCTTCTTATTATTTTTAAGTTTTATAATTTTTTTGTTTGTATTTTATGTTTCATACATGATATATCAAATTAATTATCTTTTAACAATTTTCGATTTGACTCCATATTATATATAAAATACAAAACATTGATATATATCCTTATAAAGAAAATTTAAATTTGTTTATCAAACAAAATTATAAATTATCTTATAAAGTAATAGAAATTTATGTGTATTAACATACCATAAAATAGTTATTTTATTTGAAAAAAAATATGTAAACTAACTATGGACATCAAATTAATATAAAAAAATATTCTAAGGTTTATGTCTCAACTTCAATAAAGACAAAGTGAACATTATAATCATCTTGAAAAAAATTAAATAAATATTATAATTGGAATAATAAAAATAATTATTATATTTCATAAAGTTTAATCTCATACACATTATATTTTATATTATTTGAATATTATAAAGTTAAAATATTTTTAAAAATATATTAGATGAGAGAAGAAAATTGTATAAATATAAATATAATTACAATACAATCAAACTGTGTGGTTAAAAAAAATTATCATATTGACAAATCGAGTATAAAACATGGTTATTATTTTAAATTAAATAATTAATATTATTATTTTTTAATTATTAGTTGTATTTTTAATTTTGTATCATTCTATTATAATAATATAAATTTATTCACTTCTTTATTTTGATAAAAATATTTAATTATCAAACACACATGTTGTTAACGAGCGTTATATTAACTGTGAATAAATTAACTATTATATTTAATTTTGAAAAAAAAATATATATATTAAATAAAACAAATAATACTTCATAAAAATATTTTCTAGAATTCAAAATAAAAACAATTAGCTATCTTTCACATCAAATATTAAATAACTAGCATCTTTCACCTCAAAGATGACTTCTAAAGTTCTACCAATTTCCCCACGTGCCAATTAAACTAAATCCCTATCCAGAATTAATCAACCTCGCTAACAAAGACTCTGAGCTGGCAACCTTTGTGCTTTTCCATCACCATTCATGATTTCATTCACCACCACCAAACCATATATATACATACATACACATACATAACTCCACAACAGCAAAATCAAACCTTCAACTCCAAACATGCATCACTCGGACAAAACAACCAATCAAAACGAGCACAACACCCAAACCTCGCCGCAGACGACCGTGGAGGAATTCTTCTCCGTCACCGGAGATATGGAGACTTGCCGGATTTGCCAAATAAACGGGTGCCTCGGCTGCCACTTCTTCACCGGCATGCCGCCTGACGAGGTGGCGCAGAATACGAAGAGGAAGCAGAAGAAGAAGAAGAAGAAGAACTATAGAGGGGTGAGGCAAAGGCCGTGGGGAAAATGGGCGGCGGAGATCAGAGACCCGCGCAAGGCGGCCCGCGTGTGGCTCGGGACATTCGGGAACGAGGAGGACGCGGCTCGGGCGTACGACCGTGCTGCGATCGAGTTCAGAGGGCCAAGGGCGAAGCTCAATTTCCCGTTCGCGGATTACATGAGGGGCTCCTCGTCCTCTAATTATCGGTTGGAGAGTGAAGGAAAATCATCGTCGATGGAAATTGGTCCGAGTGATAGTAGTCGTTTGAGCGGGAAAATGCAAAGCGAGTGTTGGGAAATGACGGTTGGGAAAGAGGAGATCGAGGAGTGGGTGACGTTGATGAACTCCAACGACAATGTCGACTCGCCGGATTCTGTTTAATGCCGGAGGTAATCGTCGTGATGTGTAACGTTGGTGTAGCATTGAGATGTGTTTGACTTTGACTTATGAATACATTTACACGTGTCTTCAGCGCATTCACAAGTCTTTTGAGTAAAAAAGAAAAGAAATAAGATGATATACTAAATAATTAAGGAAAATGTTATATGTACATAATAAATATACATAGATGTGTACATAACACTCACATACATTAAGTGAAATCCACTTGATTTTTTATTTTTATTTTTGGTAGGTCTCACCAGGGCCATCTCCAGAAATTTGGAGGCCCCAGACAATTTTTTCAAGAGAGGCCCGTAATCGTATTTTTATATTTTTAATTTTTCTAATTGAACAAATAATAATAAACATTATCAATAATAAATAATAAAAAAAACATGAATATGAGAAAAATAAGTAAACTAGAATGCAAAAACTTACAACCTTCTCGCTTTCTTTTGTACAAAATTATCAATCAAGTCACCATAATCAAGTTTCGCAACCATTTTTTATTCAATGAAATGATAGAATAATATATAAATAAATTTATTTACAATACTAATTAAAAAAATTACAGTCCAATATTAATAAAAAAAGCACATATTGGACAAATAATAAATTACAATACTAACAAATTTGATATCCGATTTAATAAAAAGAAAGAAACTACATATACCAATCTAAGAAAATACAGAGGGAGGCCAGCGTTGGTCGAGGTAGAGCAACTAAATTTCACGGCAGAATTTGAGGAATTGGGGTTTATTTCGTAAAATAAAGTGCAACTCGACCGCAAAGATAACTAGAGAAGTACAGGCTGTACAGCCTTTCATTTTAAGGAAATAAATTGGGTCAAGCCCAATACATTTGTGTAATATATAAATACATACCTATACATATGTGAGGCTCCCAAAAAAATGAGGCCCTAGGCCAGAGCCTTGGTTAACCGACCCTAAAGCCGACCCTGAGTCCACTTAATATAAGTATTATGTACATCTCTATATACAATATTATATACTTATAACATTTCTCAATAATTAATAAAGTTATAATCAAAGACAACTTCTTAAAATCTAACCAACCATAAAGGAAGCACGTGTTAAAATTGAACTACTGAACTAATACTGTAGTTCAACTGAGACATATTTAACATGTGCCTATAAAACGTCAACACACATGCATGGTCCCATTATATATGTGGAGTTTGGGATATTCCCACGAGTGTTAATTTTTTTAACCTCAAATCATCCCTTTTCTATGATGGGGTTGAGTCGCTCACATCCCGCATAGACTGAACTGATTAATATAAGCTCAATTAATTTTAGGCAAAATTAACAAGTGTTCCTTTAATTAAAAAAATAGAATATATATGATGATATAAGGATAAGGATGAAGAAATGACCCATTATTGCCACTTGTAGTGATTGTTTATTAATTTTTAACAATCCTTTTCGTATAATTCCGACAATTAACTAATTTTCTTCTAGTTGTCAAATAATCGACTCAAATACGTATTTTATTACAGTTGAAAAGTTCAGTAGGTATATATTTTATCTTAAAAAGAGTTATTATTAATATGATGTTACGTATTTTGATGGGTTATGTCGGTATATATTTTAGAGAATTGCTACAATCCCATTACAGAACTATTTTGTTGGGATTTGTAACCGTTAGATCATCATATAACCGTCGCGGATAGTTAATCTAACAATGGTTCCATAACAAGACTGTAGAATCTCCCTATATTTTATCTTAAAAAGGAGTTATTATTTTCGTGATTTTTTTTTTATTTTTTTTTTATTTTTTTACTATACCGAGATTCCAGGCTTGCGCCTGACTAGTCCTCCAGTTAAACCGCGTTAGCCACACAATGGCTCCCAACTTCATACCCTTAACTACCGCGCACAAGGAGTCGATCCCCGAGTGATTGCTCGCTGGCCCTCCCAGCTCCAAGTTAGCCCCACCTATCCAGCCGTTGGTTCCCACCGAAGTGATTGCTCGCTGGCCCCCCCAACTTCATGCTGGCCCCACCTATCCAGCCGCTGGTTCCCACCGAGTTTCAGCCTCCCACACTGCCGCTTGAAGTCCTCAGTATTAATTGTTCCACCATTGTGCTCCGGAAGGCTTGAACCCTTAACCTCATGTCAAGGGTACCTCACTCTCAACCAATTTTCGTGATTTTCTTGTTTCTGAATGGCAATCACGTACTTTTCCCTGCTTTCCTTCAGTCCATCATCTTACTAATTGGGCCCATATAATGTTTGCTATTTTACACGTTGACTCCTTTTTGTCGAAAACTTTTACGAAAAATACGAATTGCAAATAAAATTATATAAATTATTTATAAACTAGACATAAAGAAATAAAATAATGCAATTAAGAAATTAAAAAATTAAAACAAAATACAAATCAACCATCCATAAACTTTAAAAGTTGGTTTATTTTTAATTAAGAAAAAAACATCGTCAATCTATCATCTGCCTGTTATTTTTTACGGATAATCTTATTAGAGTTGTTAAATTAAACGAGCGGCTTGATTCTGCTTGTTAAGGCTCGAGCTCGAGCTCATTTAAAACTCCTTTGGTTAACGAGCAGAGCTCGACTCGTTCGATAAAGTTCGAAAATATGATTATTTTTTTGTAATTTTCTATAGTTTGACTCGTTAAAGCTCGATTTCATCTCGTTGAGGCTCGAGTTTGACTCGTTAATATTGATAAAGGAGTCATGCTTGATCTCGAGCTCGAGCAGTATGAGCTCAAACTCGACTCGACTCAACTCGTTTACAACCCTAGTTTTTTTTTTTTTCCTTTCAGAAACTAAATTCGAAATCAATAAGATTTAACCACTTTGGTTAAAATATAATTTTTTGCATAACCTACAATACATGTTAGAAACCAGTTTTGAGTAAAGAGCCAGTAGGAATATACAAAGTCACATACGAAATATATCATAAAATCGAGAATCAAAATATAAGTTACGAATAGAAGCATAGGAATATACAAAGTCACATACGAAATATATCATAAAATCGAGAATCAAAATATAAGTTACGAATAGAAGCATAACAATCGAGAACCAAAACAATTAGTGATTATAAAATAAAATGTGTATTTTTGGTCGACCTCGACAGTAATATGGCACCCAAAATAGCTCGGTGGGCCTGAGTCGTAAGCTCGAGTATGGGCGATCCAAAGGAGCTTTACTTGATTTTAGTGCTTAACCTCGTAAGGGAGCTCATTATGCAGCTTAGGGTATGAGTCGACCTGATAAGTAGGCTTGGGCCTTGGAGGTCGAACTCCTCGATGAGCTCGGAGATTAGGGGAGACCTCAAGACCCGAAGGTCGTGACGGTAGAGGTCGTGGTTAAGACCTAGTTAGAGCATGTGACAGGTAGGTTGCGAAGTCGTTCAGACGATCTAATGACCTAAGTGTCGTATGGTAAGAGAAGATTGACAGAAACTGGGGAAAAATGGGTGCGGGTCCACTATCATGAAGCGCACCATGGAAAAATGAGAAAAACCTATATGAAGCCCAAATGGGGTTCCATCCTAAAACCAATTGGTGGAAGGAGGAGTAGCCCACTAGACTTATAAGTTAGGCCCCTGTAGACGATGTGGGACAACTCACAAGTGTATATTATAACATCCCCCCTCACTTGTGATTCCTTCGGAAGCCCAAGCCCAACTTGGCTGGGTGACGGGTACGTCATTGCACGGTCCCACGTAGGCCCCAGCCCAACTGGGCTGGATGAACCGGCTCTGATACCATGACAGAAACTGGGGAAAATGGGTGCGGGCCCACTATCATGAAGCGCAGCATGAGAAAACGGAAAAAGCCCATATGAAGCCCAAATGGGGTTTCATCCCAAAACCAATTGGTGGAAGGAGAGTAGCCCATTAGTCTTATAAGGTGGATCTATTTTCCATGTATGAACGATGTATGACGACTCACAAGTGATATTCTAACACGACTCTCACTTGTGAGTACTTCGAAAGCCCAAGCCCAATTGGTTGGGTGCCCAAGCCCTACTAGAAGTAGACTCCCATAAACGGGTACGTGGGGGAAAACGGGTACGTCATTACACGGTACCACATAGAACCGGCTCTGATACCATGACAGAAACTGAGGGAAAATGGGTGCGGGTCCACTATCATGAAACGCACCATGAGAAAATGGGAAAAGCCCATATGAAGCTTAAATGGGGTTCCATCCCAAAACCAATTAGTGGAAGGAGGAGTAGCCCATTAGTCTTATAAGGTGGGTCTATTTTCCTTGTATGAACGATGTGGGACAACTCATAAGTGATATTCTAACACACCCCCTCACTTGTGAGTCCTTCGAAAGCCTAAGCCCAACTGGCTGGGTGCCCAAGCCCTACTAGAAGTAGGCTCCCCGAAACGGGTACGTGAGGAAAAACGGGTACGTCATCACACGGTCCCACATATAACCGGCTCTGATACCATGACAAACAGGGGTTGACAAGTGCGATCCCACGGACGAAGCGCACCAAATCAGGGAAGCCCAAATGAAGCCCAAGTGAGGTTCCATCCCAAAACCAATTGATGGAATATCACTTGTGAGTTGTCCCACATCGTTCATACATGGAAAATAGACCCACCTTATAAGACTAATGGGCTACTCCTCCTTCCACCAATTGGTTTTGGGATGAAATCCTATTTGGGCTTCATATGGGCTTTTTCCATTTTTCCATGGTGCGCTTCATGATAGTGGGCCCGTACCCATTTCCCCCAGTTTCTGTCAGAGATAAAATCTTGTAAGGATGAAAAGCGTATCTCATTAAGGAGTTTGAGATTCTAGAGAAGTGGTAATCTAGGAAAGCAGATATGGTTAAATATTTTTCTTAGCCAGGACTCTACTTGGGCAATAAGCAATAAGACATCCTAGTATATAAGGGTGATCGATTTATACTTTTTGTATATTGCATATTTATGCATACTAGCTACAGTTTACATAATTTTTCACGAGCGAGTATTGACATAGGCGTCAAAGGTTTTTCTGTCGGGACCCCTCCCCAACATATTGTAGGTTAGCGAAGCTCGAGACAGAAGACACTTCGTGATTCTGCCAATTTAATCCGATCCAAGGACAATTTGCCTATCAGGCAGTCTAGGTTAATAGAATATTCCAAACTTAGGATGTATGCTTCATCGGTAAGGCGGTGGTGCAACATGTTCACCTGAAACCTTAAAATTATGCGTGTACAAATAAAAATGAAAATAATATTATGATATATTCTTTAGATAGGTCTTAACTCGATGAACTAGTTTCGAATGGAATGTTAAGCGATGTAACATCTAAAATTAGTTCGATTCATCGGTGACTTTACCAAAATTCTATAATATCTCATAAATTAATCAAGGTCGTAAAAAATATATAAATATTATTATTTTTAGATATATGACATTCCAACTAATTTCAGGGATAATATGCAATAAATTAACATGTGACATCATTTCCCTCAAGCAAAATGCAAAAACAAATCAGGTCCCCCATGCTCAAAACAATGTTTATAACAAAATTATCATCAAAATATTTTAAACCAATCAAACAAGGTTAAAATCAATACACACTCTCGATCAATATTATCTTAGTTTTGTCTACCGTAAACCTAGATGTATCTGGCGGGGGAGGTCGTGTCCTCCTTTATGTCTTTTGTGTTAGTTTTGTTGGTCTGTGTTTTCGGTATTCGTGTCGTTTTAGATTGTGTTTTTGGTCTGGGCCGTTGACCTCTGTGAACCTGAGTGTCACCTTATTATCCCAATGGGATCCGACACTCGGGTATTACTTTATTGGGGTCTTTTTAGTTGTTTTAGTTGGTTAGTTTTAGTTGCGAGTTTTCTTCTAGCGTTGCTAGCGGGACTCAAGGCGGTCTTCTGACCTGTCCTCCCACTTTTTCAGTTGTTGACTGCTGTATATTCAGTCGTTGGCTGCTGTGTATTCGCACATTTGTGCATTTTGATTTATAATATAATCTATCGTTTCGGGAAAAAAAAAATCAATATTATCTTGTTTCATTTTATTTATTAATTAATGTTATAGTTTAATTTTACTTCATCAATAAGTTGCTTAGCTACCTTGAGAAGCGCGTGGGCAAAAACACGATTTTAAGTTTTTAACTCGTTTACAAAATAAGTTAAATCGATCTGCCTTTTCCCTTTGTTCCTTCCTTCATTACCAAGCAAATGACACGTGGCTGCATCATTGCCCCGCCAGCTAGTGTCGGTTTTATTCTCTCTCTATAAAAACCCGACCGCTCCCAAAAAGCTGCCGACTTTCTCTCTCTAAAATCCCTCAAAATCAACGCTTTTCGATTTCGAACTCTTCGAAATTCAAATTATCCAAATTTCGCATTTTCATTTTCTCAAATTATCCGATAATTTTTCCGGTCAATCGCACCACCGTCACGCCACCACCATGGGCGGTTCGCAAAGCCGCGAAGGACTCGAACTTTCGGATTCGGAATACTCCAGCGACGGCGAGGAGGAGGAGCAGCAAGAGGCAAAGTACGCCGATGCAGAGGATCGCACCCCAGAAGCGAGTGCCGAAACCCTAGACGATCTGGATTCGAGGTTGCGGGCTTTGAAATTGAAGTACCAGAAAAGCCCCGCCACCGCCTCTCGGAAACCTAACGCCGGCATCGGGAACGCCGTGAAGCTCTTCCTCCACATCGGCGGGAACACGCCCAAAGCGAAGTGGGTGGTGTCGGAGAAGCTGAGCTCGTATGGCTTCGTCAAGATGCTGAAAATTGATGGCGAGGAGGAGTACGACGAGGATGAATTGGGCCGTGGTGAAGGATTTTGGGTATTGAAAGTGGGGAGGAAAATTAGGGCTAGGGTTTCGACTGATTTGCAGATGAAGTTTTTCGGGGACCAGAGGAGGGTTGATTTCGTGGACGGCGGTGTTTGGGCTTTGAAATTTTTCTCCGACGGGGATTACAGGAGCTTTGTGACTAAATTCCAGGATTGTTTGTTTGAAAATGTGTATGGATTGAAACCAACAGAGGAAAACAAGGTGAAAATCTATGGGAAGGACTTTCTGGGATGGGTGAAGCCCGAGGATTCGGATGATTCAATGTGGGAGGATGCAGATGCCGGCGAATGGAGAAGTCCTGATAAGGCCCGTTCAATGGAGTTTTCAGACAGGGAGAATCAGGACTTGCTCAAGGAATTTGAGGAGGCTGCTGTGGGTGGCGGCATCCAGAGCCTGGCCCTTGGGGCACTGGATAACAGCTTCTTAGTCAGTGACTCGGGAGTTCAGGTCGTGAAAAATTTCAGCCATGGGATTCACGGCAAGGGAGTATATGTGAAGTTCGACGACCAGAAACTGGGTAGCTCTAGCTCGGGAACTGCCAAGAAGGCACTTTTGATGAGGGGCGAAACCAATATGATGCTCATGAGCACTCTTAAGGAAGGAAAGCTGCAGTCGCCCGGGCTTCTCCAGATGGACATTGAAACAGGAAAAATCATCACGGATTGGAAGTTTGAGAAGGATGGTGCAGATATAACCATGAAAGATATCACTAGCGATGCAAAGGGCTCCCAGCTAGACCCATCTGAGTCGACCTTCTTGGGATTAGACGACAATCGCCTTTGCCAGTGGGATATGAGGGATAAGAAAGGGATGGTTCAGAAGATGGCGAGTACTTCAGGCTCGCCTGTACTTCACTGGACTCAGGGCCACCAATTCTCGAGGGGGACGAATTTCCAGTGTTTTGCCACTGCTGGGGATGGTTCTATTGTTGTGGGGTCCCTTGATGGGAAAATAAGGCTCTACTCAAGAACTTCTATGAGGCAGGCGAAAACGGCCTTCCCAGGGCTCGGTTCGCCTATTACGTCAGTTGATGTGACGTATGATGGGAAGTGGGTGTTGGGCACGACAGATACGTATTTGATCTTAATATGCACGCTGTTCACGGATAAGGATGGGAAGACAAAAACGGGTTTCGAGGGGCGGATGGGGAATAAGATACCTGCTCCAAGGTTGCTGAAGCTGACTCCTGTGGATGCGCATTTGGCTGGGGCAGACAATAAGTTCCACGCTGGGCATTTCTCTTGGGTGAGTTTGATTATGGATTCATTAAATGTCTTTTTATAGCTTCCTTTGTTTTTTGTTGCGGTGTGATTTGTTTGCTCTATGACCTGATAACTGTTGTGTATGGGATTGTTGTTGGTATTGTGCATTTGATGTGTGTGGGCTTGCGTGTGCTTTTGAATTCATCTGGTGCTTCTTTTTATTTTTTGTTTTTTTTTTTCCTTCTCTCTTCATAAAGAGGTGCTGCTTGAACTTCGTTCGGTTTTGGTATCATCATGCTTGTTTGCCTGTCATATTGAATAAATTATGAGGATATGGTATCACTGGGTCTGAGGTTTAGTTTGAAACTGAAGCTAATTAAATTTGAAATAAATTTTCCGATGAATAATGTAAGTAGACAAACCGACGAGGCTTTTTCTGAAAATAAGCTCATGACGACAAAAAAAATAAGGGAGAAGAAAATTTATGATTTCAGTACTGATTGAGATTCTTTAATGTGTAAATGTGCTTCTGGCATTTTCTTTGTAAAATATTAAGTTGTACATTTGTCTCACGAGCAAGGGCGAATTTACATTAGTGGTAGGGGGCCCCCCCTTCAAAATTTAATTTATTTATTATTACTGTTAAAAATTTTAATTTGTTTCCCTTTAAATTTATTTTTGTACCCCTAGATTTTTTTTTTAAATGTTACTCACCAGCCAATTTGTCCACAATTGTCAATTAACAATTCAGCACTTCTTTTATTTTACTATTAATTTTGTATATTAAGTTTTATCATTCTATAATTTTAATTGGCCCATATAAAAGATTTCAACTCCTGGTAATTTTTGACCGAAAATCGAACCGAACTGAACCGAACTGAACCGAACTGATGAGAAAATAAACGGAATCGAACCGACTTATGTGTAACGGTAACCGAAAATCGGTTACTGAAATGTTTTCGATTCGTTATCGTTTCTGAACCAATTATATCATGTCTTTTGGCCCCTCTCAACTAATTTTCTGGTTTCGCCCTTGCTCACGAGCGACATTTTTTCGGCAGGTTACTGAAAGCGGGAAACAAGAGAAGCATCTGGTGGCGACTGTGGGCAAGTTCAGCGTGATATGGAACTTCCATCAGGTGAAGAACAGTGCCCACCACTGTTACCAGAACCAGCAAGGCCTCAAGAGCTGCTATTGCTACAAGATTGTACTGAAAGACGAGTCCATAATCGAGAGCCGGTTTATGCACGACAAGTTTGCACTCCACAATTCACCCGAGGCCCCTTTGGTTGTGGCCACCCCAATGAAAGTCACTTCTTTCAGCATGTCTGGTGGCAAACGGTGAATAATGCCATAGGATAGAGTTTGGATTTGGATTTGGATTTGGAAAACGGAGTCTCTCTTTCCTTTACTGATTGTGGGTTTTTGTTTGCTGAATAAGATTATCTTGAACACAACTTTGTTTTGTTTTTCATCACTAGTTGGTTTGTTTTCTTGCTTGGATCATTTTATTTTGGTGTACTTTCTTGTGAGAGAGTTGTGGATTTGTTTTAGCGGGTTATCATAATAAGGTTGTATATATGTTGGGAGTATGTATATTGTGCATGCGGTTCACTTGACTTGCAATTGCATTTATGAATAAAAGAGGTGTGTATTACTTGGAATGGGCTATCTTGCATATCCAAGGGGAAGATGTTAACTCTAATCAGGGTGATGTTTGCTTATATAATACAAGAACCCAGAAAAAAAACAGGCGGTAGACTTTAAAATGCAGTGTTTATGATCAAATGAAAAAGTGGAAGAGTATTGAAGTTTAAAAAGTCAAATAAAAAAGTGAAAAGGAACCCATAAACAGAGGGGAGATGGTTTAAGATAAAGGGTAAAAGAATCGAATAAAAAGTGAGAGTGGCTGGGGGGGAGGGAGGTTTTAACTTTAAAATAAAGGGTAAATATTTAAATTAACACGAAAATGTAGCAAATTTTCGCGCCAGGTAGGGGTCGAACCTACGACTTTCTGCTTAGGAAACAGACGCTCTATCCACTGAGCTACAGGCGCTGCTGAATTGTATTGGATATTAAGTTTAAAACTAGTGCAATGTGTAGTCATACAAAATGAAATTTCTTATGTATATAATTTATATTTTTATTATGTAATGTTGTATTTTTTATATACATTTAATGGTTTAATATATACTTTTTAAGCATAGGTTATTTTATGAATAAAAGTATTTATCCGTGTGAGTCTAATCCATAAACCTAATATTTGGATTTAGGTAAAATATCGCAAATGGTCCCGCACTACCCCAAATGGTGTGCTATATTGGTCTATCATTAAACTCGTTCCAATATGTTGTCATTTAATCGTAAATTGTGCAAAATATTGACATCACAGGATTTTTTTTTTTTCGATAATTAGTAATTAAATAATAATTAAAGATTATACAATTCTGTCATATCAGCATTTTGCACAACTCATGATTAAAATACCAACATAAGAAACTAATTTTTCTCTTTTGTTTATCTTATTACAAATTGACTTCATCAACCGATATATATGTTCACCTAGCTCTCTCCCTTATTTCAATTTTCAAAAGTTATCGTGGTTGTCAAATTTAGGACTATATCTTTCCCAATAAAAAGGAAATTAAATTGTGAGATCAAACAAAATAGCATCCACATTACACAAAGACACAATACATAGTTTGTGATTTTCAATATATTATATGAAATAAATAATATATACCCAAAGACACATATAATTTGTGTTTTTCAATATTATCCTGGTAGGATCTTTTTAGTAGTTTTTGTTTGCTTATGTAGTTGGTAGTAGTGTAGTTGCGAGTGTTTTTATTCTAGCTTTGCTAGTGTCGGGATTCTAGGCGGTCTTTTGACATGTCCTCCCACTTTTTCAGTTGTTGGCTGCTGTGCATTCGCACATTTGTGCAATTTGATTTATAATATTATTTATCATTTTAGGGAAAAAAAAGAAATTCATTATATTTTATTGAAACAAATAATATAACCACTTGTGCTCTCCACGTGGATAAGTCATAAGTGTCTTTTCATTTCAATTTATACCAAGAGAGAGTGACATTTTTTCACTTATTTAGTTTGACAAAAGATGCATTGGAAAGTTAAAACAAGGAAAAAATTATTAGTACAACTTTTTTTTGTATAACATTCAATGAACGTGGCATGATGTAGGTGGTTGAGATGCAAATAAATGTATGATTGAGATTTGAGTTAATGATACGTTTAACTAAGTTGTCAATTAATGTTGTAAATTATAATTGTACATGTAGCATTATCTAACAAACAATGTGTAAACATAACCTACTAAAGTTGATGCCTTTATGCACACTGAGAAATAAAAAAATTCTGGGGCAAAATTACAGAGTTAAATAGTTTCCATTAAAAGTTAGCTTCAAATGNAAATATGAGTACAATTGCAAGTATCAAGTATCTATTATGAATTAAAATAGTAAAAGTAAATCTGTATTGAATTAAAATACTACGTTCATTATTGTCTCACAAAGAATAAAGTACACAAATATAAAATAAAATGTAAAATTATCATAAAATAATTATACCAATTTAATTCGTATAATTTACCGTGGCAATAATTGCATTATTTAACACGGTTGACTCGATCCTATCCCCTGGGCACTCCAGAGAGTCGGATTTTAACCATTAGATTACACATACTCACACGCACTCGTGTAAGTATTTATTGATCGAACAGTTAAAATCCTTAATTAAATTAACAGTTTAATATTAACAAGGGAACATGCATGTTGAATCTTTTGCAGTCATTTCTTAGTTACTAATTGAGAAAAATTAATGAAGCTTGTTTTGTTAGGCAGTAAACAAAATTTAGGCACTAGGGATAAACGTGCCTATTGTCTCCCAATAAGGCAAATTGTACTTTAATTAGGTAAAGTAATATCAGTCGTCAACAGAAAAACCATATTTTATAAGAGGTTAAAAGGCATAACGATAACATAAAGGTCAAAATAGTTGATTTTGCATATCCCGCACGCATGATTATACCAAGATTATTTTAATTGCAACTGCATAAAACTGTAAAGAAAAAATAAAGGATTGTTACTAATTAATTTATAAATTGAAATACATAGGCTTAATATTTGTGAATATTCAAATAAAACCTTTGTGATAATGTCTGTTTTACTATTCATTTGTTTCTATTTATCATTGTAATTTGTTCATCAATATTAAGAAAGTGACTTATTGACATAGTTATACATAAATGATGACTATTTCAACTCTTCCCATGTTAATATCCAAACAAAATGCAATTAATATTCAATAATTTTTCAAATGTTACGTATAGAATCAAAATAAATTTTTGTTGAAAGGTTACAAATAACACTTATAATCTTTTTTAAGAAAAATGCTACAAGTACATAATAAATGTACATAGAGGTGTACATAACACTCACGTGGAGTGGGGTCCACTTAATTTTTATTTTTTGTAGGACCCACTCAATGTGAGTGTTATGTACACCTCTATGTACATTATTATGTACCTATAGCATTACTCTCTTTTTAATTATACGGACTATTTATAAAATATCTACCTTTTTTAAAGAAAAATATCCATTAATTAGTAATTAATAAAATAAAAAAAAAATATAATGTAATCTTACCATGTCAACATTTTCACCATTTGTGATTAAAATATCAAACATAATGAATAAAATTAAATGATAGTAAAATACTAGTGGACTATTTATGAAACACTCATTATTATTAAACAAGGTGCAACAAAGAAAATGGACAGGCTTCAAGTCCCTATCTCTAAATTTTAAGAAACTAAACATGGCTGTTTTGTAATAAGGCTAAACATCAAGGGGTAGTACTTGCAATTATTCCTAATTACTAATAAAAGTTCTTTCATGCACTTGAAAACTAGCTCTCACCTATATAAAGGAGTTCAGATCCCATTCCATGTGAACTCCAACAGTAAACCAAAAAAGATAAAATAAAATTAAGCCATACTCTCTTTACCACTTTTCCAATATTTTCTCCAAATCTATACTAATATAAAAAAGTTGTTGGAAAAATATTTTTATAGTAAGTTTGAATAAGAAAAATAAAGATTTGACTTACTATTAGTGGAAATAACTAGCGGTTGATTTGTAATTTAAATTTCAAATTCATTCACATTTAAAGAAAATTATCATAAGTAAAATTTTTTTAGATACATTCTATTTTATCTTAACTTATATATAATCACATTCCTAACAAATATTAAATTTGCTTATATATTTTTAAATTAATTACATCAATAAATAATATTAATATACATTAAATATTTATCATTATATATATTAAAAAGGGAATATTACTTCTATAAGTGTTATAAATAATAATGACATTACATGACAATAAATTTTTAATAAAATAATATTTGAGTATTATGATGAACCAAAATATTTAAAATTATTATTTTTTATATTAAAAAAATAAAATATATGTTCAAATATTATTTATGTTAATATAAACAAGTCAGCGGGTTAATATTTTCGAAATAAAGTTTTGAAAACATGTTCTAAAGTACAAAAATTCCGTGCATCGCACAAGATTGTCACTAGTTAATAATAATATGGCTTGCTTAAATATGTTCAACAATGAACAACAACAATACAGCACCATGAGTATTTCTCCAAGAGTATCATTCTCAAATGATTTTGCTGATTTTTCCCAACAGCCCACCAAACTCAAAAATATTTACAGGGAGGCCCCTGTATCTTCCGAATTCGAATTTTCGGTCCCAAATCGCAACATGATTCCAGCCGATCAGATTTTCTCCAAGGGAAAAATTCTCCCTTTGAGGGAAAATCGCGCGAAGACTACTCTTCGTGACGAGCTTCTTTCAGGTGAAGATGATTTCGAGGATGTACCGTCAAGGATAGCCAAAGGTACAAGCAGTTTGAAGGAGAGGTTAGGTCTAAAGGGACTTCATGTTGTACCTAAGAGATCTGACAAGAATTTTGTTGAAGGGTGTTTGGAGAGTATAGATGAAATGAGGGCTTAGGAAAATATTGGTTAATGAGGGTGTGTAATGGAAAGTTAATGATAATTTGGTGGATTTAGATGGAGTTTCTTTTTTATTTTTTATTTTTTATGTTGATTTGTAGTTTTTTGTGTTAATGTTTTTTTTTTTTACCTTTTGTTTTCTTGTTTCTTATTTTGGTTGAGAACAAGAGATATTAAACTAGTTTGGTTTTGATCAACACACACATACTCATACCAGTGTATCTTGGTCTAAAGGTAAAAATACCTATCTTGAACTAGTTTGGATTTGATCCCAGAGAGTTTGGTACTACAGAGGACTGTAACACAGTAATTGAATTTTTTACTATTGGATCAATAAACACATACTCGTACGAGTGTATCTTGTCCATGGGTAAAAAACCTTATGTTGAACTAGTTTGGTTTTGATCTCGAAGGATTTGATCTGACAGTAATTAGACTTTTTACCGTTGGATCAACACACAAATACTCGTACGAATATATCTTGCTCTAAGGGTAAAGTTTGTTTTAATCCCAGAGGGTATGTATGACTGCAGTATGGTAACTGAATTCTTTACCGTCGGATCAACACACGTACACATACTCATACGAGTTTATCTTACTACAAGGG